CAACCACCAGAAAATAAGTGGCTGAGGAAGGCAATGTCTACTTTTGTATTCCTAGCAACTAAATTAGTATATGGTGATCAATACCCAACAAGCATCTCAATTTCAACATACCCCAAACTAAATTCATTAACCTTTGCTGTTTTTTAAAGCGTAAAACAATTATTTGAAAGCTGCATTTACCAAATTTGAAACTGTGCATCCATCTGCCCTATTAACACTGGTGAGCCTTTTTATTATACTTCAAGCACAGGCCACAAAGTGTATATTAAATAAATGGCCATATTCCTAAATTTCTTAACATTCAGTGTACCAACGGCTTAAATTTATAGATAAAATAACTAAGTATTATAGCAACAAATCATAACTTTTTTCTCTCCATATCTACTTTCTCCCTGACTTTTCTCTAACACCTTATTCTCTAGACAGCAAGGTTAAGCCTCACTTATTTATCTATCTTCTACTAACTTTAGGGCTTAGAATCGCTTTAGAAATGTTTGAGCAAAATTAACTTCAATAATGGCTAGAATAGAGAAGCCAAGCCAGGGATGGTAGCAAAGCATTTGACACAAAACTAATCTCCAGAATGTATCATGATAAACAGTTTACTATCTTTCCCAACTTTAAGGGTTATGCGCCCTCTATTGTGCACAGAAAATACAAGTCATACAATATATATTCATTGTAAAAAATATCACTTGTTGGTTATAATGTTTCTATGACATTTATTCAGCTTCTTGTGTTACGTGAAGTCCTCTTCTCCCCTTCTCTTTTTAAAGTTAAAAATTTTCTGAAAATAAAAATAAACTCATTTAGTAGATATATTAGAAGTGGAATAGCTCTAATTCTAGGTTTTAGCACTTTTAACAAGTAAATTTTTCTGAACTTGTTGAAGTGGTCAAGTACAAGTAGGTTAATGAATAGCCAAGAATACTGAAGCAAATTCACTCCATTAACCAGGGCCGAAAACAACATCTGGGGAAAAATTAAGAGAATGGTTCAGAAAAAATTTTTTATATTTAAAAATTCTGCTAAACTGGAGGTGTAGCTCAGTGGTAGAGCCCTTGCTTTAATATGCCTGAGGCCATAGGTTCAATCTTCAGCACCAAAAACCAAAATTGATTATTTTGTATTCTTTTATGGTATGTACTAAATAAACAAATAAACAAACAAACAAATGGTGCATGCCTATAATCCCAGTAGTTGGGAGCCTGAGGCAGGAGGATCACTGCAAATTTAAGGCCAGGCAGGGCTACACAGTGAACTCAAGGCCAGTCTCAACTACATTGTGAGACCCTGTCTCAAAAAAAAAAGTGCCTCTACGCCTAGTAGTGAACTCAAAAATTCAATTTGGCATCATCCTTCTTTCAGTTTGTTTCCTTTTCATTCCCTCATTCTTCACATCACCCAGTTTTAGGATCACACTCCTCTTGTACTCTCAAAATTATTAAAAATGTAACTATGATCAAATGTGCCACCACACCTCTTTAATCCAAGCTACGTAGGAGACTGAAGGAGGATCGTAAGTTCAAAGCCCACTTCAGCAATTCAGGAAGACCCTGTCTCAAATTTTAAGAAAAACACAGGTTAGAGATGCAGCTCAGTGGTACAGTGGGGGCCCCTGCTCCACATAGCTGCGATCTTCATTCAGAGTTTCAAATGATCACAAGCTTATAGATACTATAATTTCTGATTGGAGGGGAAAAAAATCAATGACAACTAAGTACCACACACTGTACTATTTTCGTAAGAAAGTAATTATTGTTTACCTTTTTAGGTTACTAGTGGATGTCACCAAGGCTAAGAGGCGGAAGTATAGAAAAAGAGAAGAACTAAAGCCTAATGTTTTCATAGCCGGAAAGACTTTTGGTAATTTTCTTAGATGGGTAATGTCTGATACTCTATAGCTTAAATATTCATTGGTCTTTTTTTAAAAATGTGAACAGCAACACTGATATTTCTCTGGGAAGTGTGAATACAGAGCTCTTTCTTCCCACTGGTACTGGGGATTGAAGCCTTTACACTGAGCTATATCTAGGCCTTTTTACTTTAAGTAATCATTTTGAAATAAATAAAAGTCTTTTAAATTCTGAAAAGAGATTTTACAGTTGTTTGGGATAGCACGACATTCAAAAAAGAGATATGGCTATATAAGATAATTTCTTTATAACAAAGGACAAACCATTTACTAGGAGAATCTGTAATACATACAACAAACTACAGTTAGGGTTATGCAAAGAGCTCACACAACAGTATGAAAACTGAAAAAAAAAAAAAAAAAAGTAAAAAACTGACCAAAAAAATAAGCAATTCACAAAAATAAAAATGGAAATGGCCAGATAATTATGAAAAGAAGCTCAAGTTCATTAGCAATCAGGAACATATGTATTAAAATAAAATGCAAAAAAAAAATATGTTATTTTCCACCTAATAAAAAGAGTTGAGGCCAGGTGTGGTGGCGCACATCTGTAATCCCAGCGCTTAGGAGGCTGAGGCAAAAAGGATTGCCACAAGTTCCAGGCCAGCCTGGGCTACAGAGTGAGTTCAAGCCTGTCCCATTTAAAAAAACAAAAAAAAAATTTGTGAAGGGTTTAATCATTACGCAGAAAAGGGACACTCCAATAGAAAGCTAAAGAATAGACAAATTTAAAAAGATATATGGCCAATATACCTGAAAAAATGTTCTATTTTAATGACTAATTAAAAGAATAGGGCAACCCATCTGGGACCCCTCCTGCCTCTCAGGAGGTAGTCCTATTATTCATTCCTATTCCCCAATAATTTTTCCTACTCAAAAGGGAAAAAAAAGACTAATATGAAACTGTAATTTTTAAAAAAGATAATACTTAATGTTGGAAAAGGTGCCAGGAAATTGGTATTGGTAATGAATACAAACTGGTGCATACTTTTAGAGGTCACCAGACAATAGGGTTCAAAATCCTTTAAAATGTGCACATGCTTTTCTTTTGTAAATATACATATATATTTAACTATGTAAGGAGAGGACAAAAGAGGCCCTGGACAGTGATGGCTGGCTTAACACAGGAGACATGGGGAAGTGGCTGCCGGAAGGAACCCTTAAAATCATCAATCGGAAAAAGCACATAATTAAACTTGCTCAGGGAGAATATATTGCATCTGAAAAGACTGAGACCATCTACATCCAGAGTGAGCCTGTAGCACAAATCTATGTCCACGGGGACAGCTTAAAGGCCTATTTGGTGGGCACTGCAGTGCCTGACCCTGAGGTCATGCCCTCCTGGGCCCAGAACAGAGGAACTGAAGAGACCTATGGCGAGGACTGTAGAAGTAAGGACCTGAAGAAAGCCATTATAGAAGATCTGGTGAGGTTAGGAAAAGAAAGTGGACTTCACTCTTCTGAGCAGGTTAACTACATATATATTACATGTCTTACAGATATACACATACACAGAAACATATAAACATATTTTACATATAAACATTATTTAAACATGTATTTTATATGTAAATGTTTTTTACATAGGGAAAATACACACATATTTTTTATATAAACATATAATATAAATGTATACATATACTTTTTTTAACATAAACTTTTTTTTTTTGGAGACAGGCCACTATTAAAAATAAAACTAAATGATGCTTCATTTATTAACCTAGAGTGGTTTTTTTTTGTTTGTTTGTTTTGGTTTTTTTTTTTGGTCTTTTTGAGACAGGGTTTCGCTATGAACTTCAGGCTGGCTTTAAACTCACTTTGAGGGAGCTCGGGATTTAGCTCAAAGGCACAGCGCCTGCCTGGCAAGCGCAAGGTTGAGTTCGATTCCTGGTACCGGAAAAAAAAAAACAAAAAAAACCTAAACTCACTTTGTAGCCAAGGTTGGCCTCAAACTCACATCAATCCTTCTGCCTCAGCCTCCCAAGTGCTGGGTTTACAGGCTGGGATTACAGGCATGTGCCACCATGCCCAGGTGTGGTATTCTAAATATAATGAGTAAAAAGCTTAGCAGATTCACAATATATTATTGTAGAATAAATAAGCACTTATTTAAAGGTACAGAAATCACAGAAAAGTAAAGAATGACATACTGCATGAGTTAACAATGGTTATTTCCAGGTTTTCTGGGTGTGTATATGTGCTGAGGTAAGGTGTAGGCTAGAAGTTTTTTGAGAGTATAAGTGATTCTTTTGGGGTATTTAAGATAGTTCTAATAGAAATTTTTATAAAAATTGAAAGCTTTTTTTCCCCAAAATTATAATAAAGTTATACTTTTTAAGGTGTGTTACAAAAAATAAGCCATTGTGGCCTAGCATGGTGGCACACACCTGTAATCCTAGCACTTGAGAGGCTGAGGCAGGAGAATAGCCTTGAGTATGAGTCCAGCCTGAGCTACACAGTGAGTTCAAGGCCAGTCGAAACTACACTGTGAGTCTCTATCTCAAAAATCAAAAAACAACAACAAAAATTAACTTTCGTCAATTTTTTTGTTAAGTTTCAAATTGTCCTCAAAATATTCAGGATAAGTTAGATATTTACATTCAAATAATATTTAAAAATAATAGCACAATATAAACAATTATTTCATGAAAAAAAATAATAAACACACAAAATATTAAACTACCCCCACAAGACCTTTAATAGAATGAAATCTAGATTTAATATAATAGTTACCCACAGTCCTCATTAACCATGGACCATGTTAATGTCTAATTAATAATACACATATAGAGGGAAAAAAATCTAGAAACTTAGTAGGGCCCACAGTTTCCATAACCACACAAGTACATCACAGTTCAGTTATGTAGTTTTTCTCCTATTTGGCTTATTGCCACAATTCTGTGACATTTACTGGAAAACTATAATCCTCTTGCTACTGTTAAATAAAAACATTTGCTTTCCAGAAATCAATAAAATGAGTTAGTCACACACATTAATATTCAAAATGTTTTCCAATGTAAACAAGGTTAATATTTCCATTTCAAGAATTTTTCAAAATCATCATCTATAGCTTATTCCGTCTTACCAAAATTTCCTTTTTGATTATCAAAAATGTAGCACAGTCAACAGTGTTTTGGTCATCCCATTTCCACTTAAAACTAGTTTGTAGCTTCACCCCTTCTATATTGTTGGTGGCGGGGCTGGGGATTCAGCTCAGCAGCACAGCGCCTGCCTGGCAAGCGAGAGGTCATGAGTTCGATTCCGGGTACCAGAAAAAAAAAACAAAAAAAAGATTGACTATACTGTTGGTGGGAATGTAAACTGGTAAAACTATTATGGAACTCAGTATAAAGATTCCTCAAAACCAAAATAGAAATTCCATTCCACTCAGCTATTCTCCTTCTAGTTATCTTCCTAAAAAATTTTAAGACACATTACTGTGATACAGCCAGGTGTGGCGGCTCACGCCTGTAATCTTAGCACTTGGGAGGCTGAGGTAGGAGGACTGCCGTGACATTGAGGCCAACTTGGGCTACACAGTGAGTTCAAGGCCAGCCTGGACTACACAGTGAGATCCTGTCTCCAAAAAAACAAAAACAGTAACTGTGATACATGCATATTCATGTTTATAGTAGCACAATTCATAATAGCTAGATCTTAAAAGTGGTCAGTATGTTCATTAACAGATGGATAAAGGAAGTATGACATTTATACACAATGGAGTACTATTCTGCCATAAAGAAAAACTTGAGTCATTTGTAGGAAAATGGATACATCTAGAGACCATATGTAAAATGAAGTAAGTCAGGCACGTGAGCTTAAACATTGCATCATTTCTTTTCTATGAGAAGCCCAAAAAATAAATAAAGAGCAAAATAAAAGATAATAGGGCTGGGCATGTTGGTACATGCCTGTAATCCCAACACTCAGGAGGCTGAGCAGGAAAACCACCCTGAGTTTGAGGCCACCCTGCACTACATAGTGAGTTCAAGGTTACCCTGAACTACACAGCAAGACCCTGTCTCAAAACAAGCAAACAAATAAACTAGGTAACAGATCTTTTGCAAAAGGGAAGAGGACCACGACATGGAGGGGAAGGGAATAAAAAGAAGACTTAAGATGTGTTAAATACATGTACCAACTTCTCATGTAATACAAATATGTAATAATAAAATAAAAGTTGAAAAAATTAAAAACTACTTTCTGGATTTCATATAGAAAGCAACAGAAGTTCACTGTAGGAAACAGAAGAAAATCATAAATAATAGACCACTAAAACACATGGTTAAACGCAAAATTTAACAGAAGTAATCTCAATGTGTCACCAGGCGCAAGGTCATGAGTTCGACCCCAGTTACCGCAAAAAAAAAAAAAAAAAAAGAGTTTATCAATGTGTCACCAGTTACCTGACTCATTAATTACAACAATACTTTGTATTGTCTCATGCTTAAATTTTGTTTTTGGACTGTATCTTCAACTGTGGTAAAATTGTGATAATCACATTAAACATAAAACTTTAGCCATTTTAAGCACACAATTCAGTGGCTTAAAGTATGTTCACAATATTGTGCAATCATTACAACACACAGCTAACTTAGGTAGAAATATTACAGGCAGTCAGACAGGGCTAGGCCCTTAAGAGTTAATGGAGAAAATGAGAACATATTACAACTGTGGCGAGAGACATATCTGTCCATGGTGAGGCCTCAAGGTAAGTTGGTTTCGGTTTTTTTTTTCCAAACCAGGAATCGAACTCAGGACCTTGCACTTGCCAGGCAGGTGCTTGTGCCGCTGAGGTATATCCCCGGCCCCGTAAGGTGGAATGATCAGGGCTCCATGCCTCCCCAGGGGATAATAAATCAAAAGATAATACTATAAATGGTACCAACTGTTCTAATAGGACCACACTCCAGTCTTTTTTCTTACTTTTTTTTTGGCCTAGGCAGGACTTGACTTGCATTCCCTCTGCCTTAGCCTATCCCAGTGCTGATTACAGACCTGTATTAGCAAGCTTGGACATAACTGACATATTTTTAGTTTAAAAGGATCAATTCCTGAGTTAGGGTTTATTTCAGTGATAGAGTATTTGCCTAGCACATGCAAGGCCATTGGTTCAATCCCCAATACTGAAGAAAATGAAAATGAAAATTGAAATTTGAGCCATGCATGGTAGATGGTAGAACATATTTATAAGCTCAGCAAGCTGGGAGGCTGAGCCAAGATCATCCCAAATTCAAGGCCAGCCTTGGGTACAGTAAATTCAAGGCCAGCCTGAACTACAAAGCAAGACCCTGTCTCAAGAAAAGCCTCCCAGAGTACTGGCATCACTATGCCTGGATCCCACTAACGAATTTTAAAGGTAAAGTTTGCTACCAGGAATATGATACAATTGAAAACTACAAAACTCAGGGCCAGGGATATAGCTCAGCGGCACAACAAGCACCTGCCTGTCAAGAGCAAAGTTCTGAGTTTGACACCCGGTACCAAAAAAAACAAAAAACAAAAAACTCAGCTCCGCACAGTGGTGTGTGCCCGTAGTCTCATCTGCTTGGGAGGCTAAGGCAAGAGGATCACTTGAACCACAAGTTTGGAAACACTCTGGGCAACATAACAAGATACCACCTCAAATTAAGTAAAGTAAAATAAAATTTCTTATTAAATTTTAAGATTCATTTAATAGTTGTGGAAGAAGAGGTTGAACTGAGGTCACATATACATCCCACCTCACTCTACTAAAGTCTCAGAGAAAGTCAGCCAGGTAAAGCACTTGAGAAAGGTGGATTGTGTAAAGCAGATTATGCACTTGAAAATTTTATTTTCAAGAGCTGAGGTTTTAGCTCAATGGAAGAGCCCTTGCCTAGCATGCATGAAGCCCTAGCTTCAATTTTTTTTTATTATATGTTTTCTCCAGTTATATTATCACTCCTCAGGTTAACTGGTTATATTCTGTTCTATGGAGCCAGACTTTTGAAAATCATTATTTATTAAGACCCATACTGAGCTGGGCATGGCACATGCCTATAATTCCATTATTCTGGGAGTCTGAAGCAATAGGATCCCAAGTTTGAGCCCAACCTGGGTAGCTCAGCAATTTAGTGAGACCCTGCCTCAAAAAATAAAAAGGGCTGGGGACATAGTTCAGTGTAAAGAACCTGTATTTAATCCCCAGCACTACAAAAAATTAAAATAAAAGACCCATTCCAAATATTAATCCTCCCAAACAGAAAAAACAAGTCCTGCTAGGGAACATTGTATTTTCCAATTCAGGCAACAGATATCTTTAGCTGGTGGCACACGCCTGTAGTCCCAGCACTTAGGAGGCTGAGGCAGAAGGATCAGCATTAGTTCGAGGCCAGCTTGGTCGTATCATCGGTTCAAGGTCAGCCTCATGAACTACATAGCTAGACCCTGTCTCCAAAAAAAAAAAAAAAAAAAAGTCAAAAACAAAAACCAAACCAAAAAAACAAAACACCAAAAACAAAAACAAACAAAAAAAGAAACTAGGTATCACTGATGCCATAAAAACTTAAAAGTCATATTTCTAGCCTTAATTATACATGATGGTCTCATTATTTATTAATTTAATTAACAGTCCAAATTCTATTTTTTTACTCTGTAACATGTTGTACATAAAAAAAAAAAATCCCTTAAGAGAGCTTTTTTTATATTACACAGTTATACATTTTCCCCTAAAAATACCTTTCAAGTTCACAAAAACTTTCTGATTCAAGTATTCTGGGTTAAGTGAACAAATCCATTTCAATTTTATCTTATTTATATAAATTCTTGTCTTTACAGATTAAATAGTTCCAATTTTTTTGTTTTTTTCCAGTATTACAGATTGAGCCAGAGCCTTTATACTGAGCTATATCCCCAGTCCTAATTCTTTAAAAGCCTAGTTCTTCATTTATAGTCATTTAATAAAACAATTATTATTAAATGGAAGCTTAGTACATGGTTGTGTTTAACTAACACACCACTCAGACTTCAAATATCCTCCTTCCTACTCTGGATGCAATATTCATTCATATAATAAATATTAGAATGTACAGTCACTGCCCTTCAGTGTATAACTTTTTAAATAAAATTTTACTTCACTGGATGCTCTTTAGCGTTTATTACACCTTTACTTCTGTGGCTAATTTTAATGCATTACAATTTTATTATGTTTTACATTTCCTCCCCTGCACATATGCATATAGTAGCCCCCCTTATCCATCAGGGATACATTAAAAGACCACTAGTGGATGCCTGAAACTAAAGGACAAAACTGTAGTTATACTATGATTTATCTATGACTATGATATTTTTAACCATAGCTATAATAAAGTTTAGTTTAAAAATTAAGAGTTATAATACTATTGATCATTAAATATAAAATAATTATAGCAATATAGTATAGTAAAAGTTATCTCAATATGGTCTTGATAAATATTAATATTTTCTGGCAGCAGTTGACTGTAAGTAACTGAAACCTCAGAAAGTGAAATGCAAATAAAGGGGGATTATTATAATCAGTATTTAAACACAAAAGCATTCCTATATTTTGGGAGAACTTTCCTCATCGTAGTTCCATAATTTTATCAAGACTTAACAATGGTTGAAAGAGAATAAAATACTTAAAAATAATTTTTTTTTTTGAGCCAGTCTTGCTATATATAGTTCAGGCTGGCCTCGAACTCACTATGTAGCCCAGGCTGGCCTCAGACTCATGACACTCCTCCTGCCCTCAGCCTCCCAAATGCTGAGATTACAGGTGTGTGCCACCATGCCCAGATAAAAATAAATCTTTAAACTGAGTATGGCTCATGCCATAACCTCAGTACTCAGGAGGCCTAGGCAGAAGGATCACCAAAAAATTCAAAGCCAGTCTGGAATACACAGTTAGTTCAAGGCCAGCGTAACTACACAGTGAGACCCTGCCTCAAATAGAGATAAACAGATAGATTGCTAGACAGACAGACAGACGGATGTTTTAGAACAAGTTTATAATCTATTCTCTGAAAACTACACAATATTGTTAAAAGAAACTAAAGATCTAATAAAATGGAAAAATATCCCATATTCATGGGCAAAAATTTAATATTCAGATGGTGATACTCCTCCAATTAGTTGACAGATTCAACATAATCACTGTTAAATTCATAGCCAGCTTCCTTGGAGAAATTGAGAGGCTGTTCCTAAAA